AGATCAGGTACACTTCAGACCTTACGGATATCCAGTCTCATCAAACTCGGGAAGCATTGTAAAGTGCGAGTTGTATTACAACTAAACATTTAAAGGGCACTATTTGTCCTGTTGCAGAACTAGGACTTCAGGGTGTATTCTGGAGAATGCCTGCATGGTGACATTTTGGAAGTCTTTTTAACATGTTTCTTTTTATGGCTATCTATTCATAGCAATTCTCTGTTAATAGCTGTCTGGTAGACTGCTATTGTACTATTAAGTCTAAACTGATATATAGGTAGTCCTTGACTTTCAGCAGTTTTTTTACCATTCAAAGTTTGACCATTCAAAATTACAAACTGAAAATAGTGACATGACCATTTTTCACACTTATGACAGTTGCAGCATCCCTATGATCATATAATTTACATTCGGATGCTTGACAACTGACTCCTATTTATGACGGTTGCAGGGTTCAGGGGTCATGTGAATCCCTTTTGCGATCTGACAAACAAAGTCAATGGAGAAACCAGTTTCACCTACTGTAACAACCATATTACTAATTTAACAACTGTAGTGATTCACTTAACAACTGTGGCAAGAAAAGTCGTAAAATGGGGTAACTCACTTAACAAATTTCTCATAAATTTTGGGCTCAATTGTGATCGTAAGTTGAGAACTAAATGTAAAGTTTCAGAATGGTATCTAGAATGGCACTTAAGTGTTATACAGTACTCAGGATATAGTCACTTGTGCATTCCTTGGTGAATTAAAACAGTACATTGAATTAATCCATTAAATATATACAGCATGGCATATTCAACCGTGAATTAATTGAATGGGATGAGTTTGTGCCACAATGCAAGCTAAAACATGGCTGGCTATTTTGTGATTCAATATGTAATACAAACATAGATGTATAATTAAAGAACAGAGGGTCTTAACACATGCTTGGCCTAGTAATCCACATATTAAATTATTTTGGTGATAGGAATACTCTTAATTTTACTTTAAACTTTTTCCACTCTGGAAACATAATTAGATTAGATTTTCTGTAGTTAAACACACAGTTTGAAAATGTTTTGAATTGCTACAAATCATTTGGAAGATTATTGTCTACAAATTAGCGAACCAAAGGCAAAGCTTAATGATGGAATTATATAAAAAGGAAAAGGGAAAAATCAGCAAATATTCTTGAGATTAAATAAGTCTAACAACAACCTGCTGAAATAAGTAATGTTCTGGGAGGAGAGGTTGCTATAACTAGATATTTTTTTAGCATTTCCCATCTTCCCTTGCTTCAGTTTTAATAGGATGGCTCCACCAGGTCACATTTAAAGAATGAGAATAGTTTATGATCTGAATGAAATGGCCACTTGTAAATATGATTATGTTTTACTTTTCAACTAATTGTGACTTTTTTCTCAAATTATTGTATTAGTAATGTTTGTGTGTTACTGGTCATATTCTATTATAAAAACTGGTTTGCTAAAAGATTATTGGTATACCAATCAACTTAGTACTATTAAGATTTTTACTAGCAATTTTATTTCATATGATTTTACATTTGTTCAATTTTCCATGGGTATATCAATGTTTGGTGTCAAGCTCAGAGCTAAAGGAAAGTTCTTCTAAGTCACGGGTGTCAAACATGATTGGGACATATCACATCATTTCTTGCCTTTGCGGAACCAGGGTGGACATGACCTGCGCATCTGGCCTGCAGGTCGCCAGTTTGACACCCAGGGATTCAATGGGGTCAACTGGTGGTGGATCAGCTTGCATCTGCGTCGAGGCCTGCTACCCTTGCAGCTGATCAATGTGGCGGCGCCAAATGCGCCCATTGCTCAAACCGTCCCTGTAAGAGCAGGGGCCGGTTAGTTGTAAAATATGTCCCAGTAACCATTTCAGCTTTCCCCCGTAGTTGCGTGTGAATATTAGGTCGCCCATTTAAAATGACCGGGGCTCAGCCGGCGATGTCCAGTGATTTATCCACGCAGTAACTTGGGTGAAGCTGATCAAGGTTGATTCGGAGACGGCGACCCATTAACAACTCTGCGGGGCTACGGTTAGTCAATGGGCAGGGTACAGTGTGCTGTAATAAAAGGTATTTATTCACCCAGGCTTGCCAATCTCCTGGGCCTAACCTCACTNAGCCAGCGCAGCTCGCGGAGGATAGGTGTTATGTGGGTGAACCGTGGTGCACCCACAATCGCTCGCGCGGCCGCATTCTGTACATATACATATATACATATATATACATACACACACACACACCTACCTCTCTAACCCAGGATCTGGAAGATGAGTCAGAGCTCTTTTCAATAAGATCAGGGTGGGTGCTGAGATATTATGATAGAGAATAATAATCAGATGACATTACTTCATCAATAGTAACTGAAGTGTACCAACTCTGCCTGGTTATACAGCAAAAGCAGAAGCTACAAATGATAGCATTCCTTCAGACAGCCATGTTCTATTCCATGAAGGACAATCCAGCAACTTGGATTGTAAACAGAAAATAAATGTGGCAATCAGTTCAACTCATTAAGCATACTGATCCAGTGATCCATAGGCATAAGTGATCCAGTGATCCATAGTGATCCAGTGATCCATAGGCATAAGATAGTATGTTGCTGACTTCTGGAGCAACTGCAAGTTGATCCAGAATTATATTTAAAAGAAGATCCATATATAGCTCATTGCAATAATCCAGAGGTATGGTGTTCAAGTCAGGAATGACTATCCAAAGAGTCCCTAAGAGGGCACAACTAGAATACCGATGAATTTGTGCAAAGTCTTTCCTAGTAACAGTTCCCACCTGCTCCTCAAGCAGAAGCTATGAGTCTAAGAGGTCCCCCCGATGGCTCACTAGTCCCAAAGAGGAAAATACAATCCATTCAAGATTCATTCAATCCATTCTAGAAAGAGTGCAGAGAAGAGCAACAATGATGATTAGGGGACTCGAGGCTAAAACATATGGAGAACAGTTGCAGGAACTGGGTATGTCTATTATGAAAAGTGTTATGTCCGTGCCCCGAGGATGTGGCCACGCACACTCCAGCCAAGTGGGAGTGGCGCTGGCCAGAGTGGGACATTAGGTGGCTGTTGATTGGCTGCCCCACTTGACAGCATGCACATAAATAGCTGTCAAGCAGGGAACTGTCATTTTGCCTTGGTTGTTGTCAGTTGGAAATAAACGGTTGGTTTAAACTGCTGCCTCACCTCAGTCAACAACCCTCTGAGGATTTAATATTGGCGACGAGGATGGGATTGACTGAGGAATAGGAAGATCGAAACACAGTAAAGCTGAATTTTGTCTTTCCTTCTCCTCGCTAGCTGACTACTCCTGAGGCAATCTCCTCAGACGCGTCCACATCAGAATGGCAACTTTAAATAACTTCAAGTTTTTCTCAACAGCATTGGTGAGGCGTACATAGAACGGTTTGAGTGCTTCCTTGAAGCAAATAGCCTCACTGATCTACCAAGCAGTATGAAGAGGGCTCAGTTCCTGAGTGTCTGTGGGTGCGAAATGTTTGGAATGGCCCGGACTTTAGCTGCCCCACAGCTGGTTCAATCCCTGTCCTGGGCAGTTCTACTGCAGAAGTTACAGAACCATTATGCTTCAGCACCGTCGCACATTGCAAGGCGCTATATTTTCAGGCAAAGACTGCAGAAGGAAGGGGAGTCCATAAATCATTACATGGCCGCCTTCCACTCTGCCGCATTTCATTGCAACTTCCCTAACCTAGATGACTCCTTGTTAGAGCAACTTGTGTGCGGAGTGAATGATGTGAGACTCTGGCACCGGTTGCTAGCCCGTCAGGACATCAGCCTCCAGTCCGCGTTAGATGAGGCTTGTGCTTCTGAAATGTCAAATGAATCCTCTGCTGAGATTCAGAGGTTCCAAAGAGCATTGCCACCTCCTAAGACTGTGCAAGTACATCAGAAGGAGGTGGTTGAACACCTTTTGTCTGATCCTGATGAGGCTGGCGTCTGCCGCCTTAAAGCCACTAGGGTTAGAGCAGGGCACCCAGGGAAGGTGTCACCTCAGAACTATTGTGCAGGCTGTGGTGGAAACCATCCCTGTGCTTGGTGCCATTTTAAAAATGCTGTGTGCCGGAATTGCGGAAAGAAAGGACATCTGGCGAAGGTGTGCCACTCAACTCCCACTCTCTGTAACCAAGCCAATGATCGTCCAACCTGTCATACACCAGCCACCCAAGCACATCAGACTGCTGAAGATTGTTTTGCAATCTTTCGTGACCAGTGGCATTCACCTGATGCTAGTTGTCAAGCCAATGCAATGTCAGGCAGCAAAATCTACTTCGATGTCCACATTGAAGGGAACCCCTGTTGCATGGAAGTGGACATCGGCTCATCCAGATCCATACTGTCCTGGTCTACCTTGAAGCATCTCTTTCAAAGAAGCTCCTATTCCCTTGTTCCCTCAAATTGCGGGACTACCAAGGGAATAATATCCCAATTGTGGGCAGTGGTAAATTTAAAGTGGCCACCATGAAATTTTCAAGGTACCTGCCACTCATCATGGTCCAGGGCACTCTTCCCAATCTATTGGGTTTAGACTGGTTCGACGCCCTGGGCCTCAGCATTGCTGGCATACATACCACTAGGGGCAGTGACGAGTGGGCCATCCTGAAGGACAAGATTGCCACTGTCTTTGATGGGTCTCTAGGTAATTATAGGGGAACCCCCATTAGTTTTAACCTAGACCCTCTGGTACCACCCATCCGCCTTAAACCTAGAAGGGTGCCTCTGGCTTTACCTCCAAAGGTGGATGCTGAGTTAGACAAATTAATAGCCCAGGGTATATTAGAGCCAGTGGATTATGCTAATTGGGAGACCCCTATTGTTATACCTTTGAAGTCAGATGGTTTATCAGATTGTGAGCAGATTACCGGTGCACGATAAATAAAGGTCTTCAGGCTAATCCTTACCCTGTCCCTGTGGTCCAGGAATTGCTCCACATGTTGGGGCAGGGCTCTATCTTCGCCAAATTGTACCTTGCCCAAGCATATCAGCAGCTCCCTGTGGACGATGCGACTGCTGAAGCTCAGACCATCGTTACCCACAGATAAGCTTTTAAGTGCGGGCGGCTCCAGTTTTATGTAAGTGTCGCCCCAAGCATCTTTCAGGGTCTTATGGAGCAGTTGCTCCATGGTATCCCTGGAGTCATACCTTATTTCAACGATGTGTTCATCTCTGCCAGAGATAGCACTGATCTCCTTGCTAAAGTGCGAGCAGTTTTGTCAAAGTTCCAGGAAGTGGGGTTAAAACTCAAACCTTCCAAATGCCAAATTGGGATTTCTGAAGTTGAATTTTTAGGGTACTTTATTGATGCCAAAGGCATCCATCCAACCCTCTCGAAGTTGGCAGCCATTAAACAGATGCCAGTGCCTACCAGTAAAGCTCAACTACAAGCTTTCCTGGGGCTTTTAAATATTTAAGCTGAATTTTTGCCCCATAAGGCATCAGTGGCAGAGCCACTGCCTAGGCTCCTAGATGTCAAAGCTGTATGGAAGTGGGGTCACAAGGAGGCAGCAGCATTCGCAGCTGTGAAAGATCTTTTGACTTCCAATGCTGTTCTTATCCAATATAGTGAACACCTTCCCCTGACTCTAACTTGCGATGCTTCCCCTTATGGGGTGGGTCCTTAGTCATAGGTTGCCTAATGGGTCTGAAGCACCTTTGGCCTATTTCTCTAGAACTCTCTCCTCTACGGAGATAAATTATAGTCAATTAGACAAAGAGGGCCTAGCTGCAGTAGCTGGTATCAAGCGTTTTCATAATTACTTCTATGGGCATTTTTTTGAATTGATAACTGATCATAAGCCATTACTCAGGCTTTTGGCAGGTGATAAACAGTCCCCATCTATCTTGTCTCCACGCATGTCCCGCTGGACAGTGTTCTTGGCTACATATAATTATAAACTGGTCCACCGCTCTGGGAAACAGATATGGCATGCAGACGCATTGAGCCGCTGCCCTCTCTCTCCCTGGTGTAGGGTCTGATCCTGTCCCTGACTCTAATGTCCTGTTGATAGAGGAACTTACAGTCCCTCTTTCAGCCACCAATGTTGCCCTCTGTTCTGCCAAAGATCCTACCATAGCTCAGGTTATCGACTGGGTCAAGAGGGGCTGGCCACAGGTGCAGGTTTCTTCCCAATTTCTTCCATTCAAGCACAGACAGCACAAACTGTCTCTGCTAGGAGGATGTTTGCTGTGGGGCCATAGAGTAGTAGTGACCCTGCCGATAAGGAAACCCATTCTCCGTTGTTTGCACGAAGGCCATCCTGGCATAGTCCGGATTAAGGCTTTACGGAGAAGTTATGTGTGGTGGCCGGGGTTAGATCACGACATTATCTGTTGGGTAGAGGGCTGTCAGGAGTGCCAGCAAACCAGGCCTGCCCCCTGTCGCACCACCGCGAAAATGGGAAGTGCCAAAGGGCCCATGGTCATGGATCCATTTGGATTTTGCAGGCCCTATTCACGGACAGATGTTCTTGGTAGTGGTTGATGCATATTCTAAGTGGGTGGAGGTCGTTCTAATGCCATCGACCACTACCGAGGCTCTTATACAGGCATTGCAATGACTGTTCGTGACCCACGGGTGTCCGGACATTGTGGTGTCTGATAATGGAGCCCAACTAACAGCTACCCCTTTCCAGATGTTCTTGGCTGGGCATGGCATATGTCACGTCCTGGTGGCTCCTTACCACCCCACGATATGTTATGGAGGAGCGAACGGTACAATCCATTAAGGAATCCCTAGCAAGGTTAGGCCCAAGGTATTGGCAAGCCTGGGTGAATAAGTACCTTTTAGTACAGCACACTCTACCCTGCCCATTGACTAACCATAGCCCCACAGAGTTGTTAATGGGCCGCCGCCTCCGAACCGACCTTGATCGGCTTCACCCAAGTTACTGCGCGGAGAAATCACTGGACATTGCCAACCGCGCCCGGTCATTTCACGTGGGTGACCTAATATTTGTGCGCAATTATGGGGGTGAGCCAAAATGGTTACTGGGACATATTTTGCAACTAACAGGCCCCTGCTCTTACAGGGTCAGTTTGAGCGATGGGCGCATTTGGCACCACCACACTGATCAGCTGCGAGGGCGGTAGGCCTCAATGCAAGCTGATCCACCACCAGTTGACCCCGTTGAATCCCTGGGTGTTCCGGTTCGTCCCGCAGCCAAATCACATCCTTCTTCCAGCTGTCCTGCCGTTCCAGTGCCGGGTTTACCTGTCAGAGCAGGTTCTGCATCGGGTTTGATAAACAAGGGGTCGGTGCAGTCTCCAGTAATTCCTCGGGAGAATCAGCCTCCAGCAGCTGCCATGGAAGTAAGAAGATCTGGCCAGATGTGCAGGCGGCCTGCATACTTGCAGGATTACGCATGCGCCAGGCTGGTGGAAAGGAGTGTTATGTCTGTGCCCTGAGGACGTGGCCACACACGCTCCAGCCAAGTGGGAGTGGCGCTGGCCAGGGTGGGACATTAGCGGCCGTTGATTGGCTGCCCCACTTGACAGCATGCATATAAATAACTGTCAAGCGGGGAACTTTTCTTTTGCCTTGGTTCTGAAGTTGTTGTTAATTGGAAATAAACGGTTGGTTTAAACTACTGCCTCGCCTCAGTCAATACCCCCTCTGAAAATTTAATAGGTCTGAAGTTGACCTTGAAGTTAATCTATGATGATCTGAATGCTGATTACTAGTAGAACGCCTTTTTCTCTTTTGGGCTGGTTAATTGTCTCTTTTGCATTGTCTGTAGATGTTGTTAATGTCTATTGATGGCTGATTTGTCAGAATGCCAGGCTTCTAGAAATTCCCTGGCATTTTTGGACTTGGCCTGGTCTAGGATTGTCACATTTTCCCAATTGAAACTACGGTTAAATCTATCTATATGTTGTAAAATTAAAGAATTTTTGCCATGTCTTCTGACTGCCAGTTGGTGTTCTTGGATGCGTTCTGCCTGCTTGTCCTACATAGTGGTTGTTGCAATTCTTACATTGTATGTTGTAGATGACTCCTGTTTTTTTCTTCTGGGGTTGCTGGGGATTTTGGTTTGCTTAGGATGTTTTGAAGCAACCACCCACACAGATAGGCAACTGACAGCAAACAGCATTCCATACTAGCACTGATGATGTTACCTAGTTAGCAATGAAACGTCTGCAAGAAAACAAGCAAGCTCTGAGAGCACCAAGAACCCCTCATTTCAACTGCAACCTACAAATATTTCCCTTTATTGATGATTATTTCATTGTTATCAGGCCTTAAGTTACAAACAAAATTCTGCTGTACAATGCAGGAAGAGACTTATTTTATCCCTCACCAAGATCATTTAACAATTAAGTAAAGCTGCTGCAAGCTTCTTAGTGATTTCCTAACAAAAAAAGACATGTACCCTGAATGGCAACTAGTCTTTTTTGTGTTACATTTTAAATCATTTATTATAAATCAATACTATAAAATATTTATTTATGCAATGAGGCAGCACCTGAAGATATGAACCTCTCCTGTTGCAGCTTTCTGAACATGATTGTGGGTAGAGGCAGGGCTGTCTTAACGCATGGGCCTGATGGGCACTTTCCCATGGAACTCACGAGCATAGGGGTCCCACACTAATCTGTGTATGTTAACCCTTCAGTGCACCTTGCATCATATAAATACAGCAACATATTTATTACATTTTACTGCATTTTTAATTAATAATAACATGCAAATATATGTTTCATTTTATCAATCATTTACATTTTTATTCCTGTGAACAGTTGTCATAGGGGCCCCAGTATAATGCTGTTAAGACGGCCCTGGGTAGAGGGTTCAAAATACGGACCTTAAAATGTGAGCCATTTTTTTTNTATAAATCTTTAACAAAAACATGCCTAAATAAGCTTAAAAAGAAAAAAAGTTGATACCATCTTTCACTTGAGCTTTAACTCCTCCTTGCTAGGCTAACTCTAAACAATTTATATCCTTCCGCATATATCCCTCTCCAGCATATAGGGCAGGGACTGGCTGTTGGAGCTGAGCTAGGTCCTGTGCCCACAGAGCGTGACCCGACAAATGCGCGGTAGACAAATGCGCACCAACAAAACTGCAGTGACAAAACCGTGACGTCAAAAGCGCGCCCACAAAAGCGCGCCGACAAAACCGCGCCAACAAAACCACGATTAGGGTAAGGGTTAGGGTTATAACGTTGTTTTCGCGTCCCAATATGTTGTTTGATGATGGCGCACTTTTGTCGGCGCGCATTTGTCGGCGCGCTTTTGACGTCGCGGTTTTGTCGGCGCAGTTTTGTCGGAGTGCATTTGTCAGCGTGGTTTTGTGGGCGCGCTTTTGACATCACGCTATTGTCGGTGCGGTTTTGTCGGCGTGCATTTGTCTAGCGCGCATTTGCCGGTGAACCCCCACAGAGAGGGCTCCACTTGCCACCTGTGGCATATGTGCCCTAAATTTGCCATCACGAGCTTAGAGCGATGAGCAAGAACGAAGAGGAAATTGGGTGTTTAGTTTCCAATAGATATTATGCAGCTGCACGTATCTGATTATGGGTCTGAAGATGGCGAGATCTGGGAGGTGCGGATTAGTGGAAGCCTGATTTAGTTCAGGGCTGCGTGACACAGTCCACTTGGATCCCATAATAAGCCTCCTTAAAGTTCTTGATATAACCATCTGAGAGTTACAGTGGCACTTACCAACCTATCTGATGGCTTCTCCCAGTGGAAGACACAAAGAAAACCCAAAATGGACTGACATGCCCAGGATGCTTTTCAATGAATCTGGAATGCCAAGCCACGGAGATGTTAAACTGCCATGGCCAGGAGCACATGTGTGTTTACATGGATGTGACACTGCAACATGGTAAGTCCTTCAAGATGCAAAGAAGGAGCCAAGGTGGCGCAGTGGTTAGGGTGCAGTACTGCAGGCCACTTCAGCTGACTGTTATCTGCAGTTCA